TAATAGCAGTGCATGTAATTTCATGTATTGAAGGGATTAATGTTGGGGTGACAATGATGGCAAGATGGTTTCGAGATGATGTGTACAACTTTAAAATAATAATAATAAATAAATAAATTTATATACCAGAGCAAATTATATATAGTTAAAAATTACATATACACGAAGAAAACTAATACGAGAAAAATTAAATATATTATAATAAAATTAAAAAATTTTAACACTTGATGTTTGAAATAATTTTTTATTTACCTCATTTTGGAATTTGAACCCCCAATATTCCATGGTTGTGTAATTACCCCTATCGTTGATTATATTGCTAGTTTGATAGGTTGGATATACATTTTTACTAAAATTTCTAAAAAGAAATATACAAGATTACAATCTTAAGGGCCCCCCGCCCCAACACTCAAGCCCAAGAACTTTTTTTTTCAAGGTATTTTTTATTTTATTTTTTGTAAAAAAAAAGTTTTTTATGGGTAAAAAAAAAATTTTCGCGTATTAGCTCGGTTTGAAATTTTGTAGCTCGGTCTTGGATCCAATCCTGGATCCGTCCCTACTTAGTTATAATATTTTAGGAAAGTAATGCAGCATTACTATTATTTAACACAATTCTGCATGCAACACAATGACATTAATATGTCCAATAAATTTGGTCTCGGATTCCGATATTTCATCGAACATGTTATTTAACTTTATTACATCGCTGCTGATTGGTTCTACGTAGCATTATTCTAATTTTTATGGGAATAAAATAAAATTGTAAAAGTCCTCGAACCTATCCCTATATATAATTTTTGTACCTTCTTCGAATTTTCATATGAATAAAGTGAGTACAAGTTAAAAAGACTACTCGTGTATACTTATTATGACTGGCCGAGATTCTTAAACACTAATGGTTTAAATTCAAAATTGCTGTTATACAAAATTTCTTACAATATGATATTAGGGCCACACTTTGTGAAGTGTTACTACATCTTGAAATTTTCATGTTTCATGCTATTAATAATACAAACAAATAAAAAAGAAAGGGAAAGGGTTCATTTCTAAAACAATAGGCTTTTTCAAGAGGTTGGGATATTTAGATGTGAAGGCAAGAGCCTTTCCTCAAAGAGTTAGACTATTAGCTCATCTGCAAAGCCCATCCTTTTGTAACTTTATGCATGGAAATACATTCTCTCTTTTTTGGGTTAACAATATATGATGCCTATCATAATGGGGTTATGCCATTTTTTCTCCTCCCTATCATGGGGGGACAGTTCCCTTGGCACGTACAGAGCCGACGTGGAAGGTTAGTTAAAACTTGTGTAGTATAGACCCCCTTCTTCAATATTGATAAGCTCATAATTCAATTATTATGAAGCTTCTTTCGGCAAGCTTTTGAAAAGTAAAAATTACTTTCGAGACTAAGAAATTATTTCTGAACATATTTAAGTTATTTTTTGAAAATATTTTATTTAGTTAGCAGAATTTTTTTAAAAAAAAATTGATTTAAAGTAACTTTCTTGAGAAATAGAGATCGTGTGAATCGATCCCTGAGAGTCAGATGTTATTTACGCTTACATGATGAGAGACAAAACTAATGTAAAAAACATTGGAGTGCCTCATATAATTTAGGAATTTGCAAGAGCCGTCATTTTGTATCCAATTCATAAAACTTCAAACGGAAGAAAATTAATAATTTTCTAAATATAAATTATGTTCGTTCCCCTCCAATCTTCTAGCAACCTACGAAAGATGATCTATTTGGTCACCATATCTATAGGTTAAAAAAACCCCTCCTAATTCAATCCGTGGATTTAGCTTTCGTTTCAAATAAAACCAAAATAAATGTAAATTATATAACCTTTGGGTCTTAAGTTTGTGACAACCTAGTTGAAACGTACGTCTTGTTGTAAAGCACAAAGGTGTTGTACAATTATTTGAATAAAACATCTAAATTATTTTGTTTGATTGTTTATTTCAATTGCCAAAAATAAAAAATAAAAAAAAAATCGCAAGCCAAAAACTATTCTATGCTCAAAACTTTTCGTTGGATACCTGCCTTCAGTGGCGGATGTAGGTGGTGGCGAGCTAGGACAGCTAGACTCGTCAAAACCGTCGGAATGTTGTAGAGCAGAATGCAGATACTCTAGTTGGATTCACCGATCGCTGGAGGGAAGAGAGCAGAGAAATTTGCAGACAGAAATGCACGGGAAGAAAGAAGAAGAGGAAGAGAGCAGAGATATTTCCCTTTTCCTTTTGGTTTAGCAACTGTTATATACCTAGTTAAATTGAATTACATCTTCTCAATTCTTTAGCTTATACTGTTCCCAAGAAAGTGTTACTTCAGTGGTGTTTTGGTGCGAGAGCTAATTGTTAAATCATTAATATAGGTGCAAGCATACTTGTTTGATGGCTACTGGGACAGTATTGGCACAATCAAAGGTTTCTATAATGCCAATTTGGGGATCACAAAAAAGCCTATTCAGTTGCCTTTTATTGTTTCAGAACACATTTTCTCTATTTATGAAATTACAATATGACTTCCATAATCTGCTGCAGCTTCTATGATTGATCATATATATATATATAAAAGTTAAATCGCAGAATGATGATAATGTGAAAATTACATATATATTAAATAATTTTTAATATTATTTAATTAAATTTTAATAAACGACCAGCCGCCGACCAGATCGGGCTTTTATGATCGTTGATTGTCGACAGTCAACGATCGAAGCCAACTCCCTCCCTAACTGAACATTCATGCTGAATTCGCCTCTACTCGCCATATATCATAGTAGTTTGTGTTGCAAAAATAGTTTGGCACAATCGAATTTATGACTTTTTACACATTTTTTGATCTTTTTATTCTTACACTTGCCTTGATACCAATCCTTCTCCATTTTACTGAGGAAATGTTTACCTTCATCTCATTTCATTTACGTACATATACATAGTCTATGTTCGTATAAAATTATTAATAACTTTTTAGAAGGAAAGACAATAAGGTCACAAAACAGTGTCAAAAATAATTTTTTAATAATTATTATGAATGTGATCTTGAAATTAACTTTACTCAAATTAAAAAACTTATTAGCTACCCTTTCATTTTAGATGAAGAAACATAAAGATCCCAACCAAAGCCATTGCTAAAGTTTCACAGAATTGACAACAATCCCACCAAAAAAAGTATCAAAATCAGCGGACTCTCCCTCTGTTTTCCCAGTTCCCACGCCCACACAACAGTTCATACACAAGTACCTAATCATGTGTGTACGGATACATACATTCTAGAGAAAAATAGAAAGAAAAAAAGGAAATGTATTTTTACTGTTATTAATTTGTATTGATTATTGTGCGTTGGAATTAGGTATTGGAGTTAATTACAGAATTAAGAGAGAAGAAATGGTGATGGGAGTGAAGAGGAGGTGCCGGACTGTGTCGGTGCTGAGACAAGTGCTAACGTGCGCTATATGCATCATAGCCCTGGTGGCTCTGCTTTCCGTACATGTTCAAGATATTACAAAGTTGCCTTCTGATGCTTCTTACAAGCTCCCTACGGTCAGCTTCAGTATTGGATCTTTCGTTTTCCTGTTCTTTTACTGTTTAATTTACTCATCTTCTTAAAGAAAAATGGTATCAGTTTTGCCTATGCTTAACCTGGCTTGCGAGGTATTGATGCGTGGAAAATTGCAGTAATGCGTCCAAGGAATTGGGCGACCAGATTGTTGGTGTCATTGTTGATTCTAATTTTTACTTACCTAGTTTATTTTCTTTGAATTATTTTTCTTGGGCTTATTGTTTATTATTTACTAGATTTGGATTCTGCTCTGGTTTTGCCCAGCTACCGTGTTTACCGTGAACTTAAATCACCACATGGCTGTTAAAGCTAGTTCAGCTTATTTAATGCAATGGATTTTATTCTGTTATAAGTTTATATTTCTCCCTTTTTATGGAATTGGGGCATTTGAATGAGTTTCGATTACTGATTTTGGGTAAGCTTCAATTCTTGTAGCAAAAGGATATGGGTTACCAGAAACTGCGCAGAGAGCGAAGCTGGACGCAAGAATATTCCCCTCCCCATTTGTCTGAAGATCCTCCCAATGCTCATAAGGTTTTGCCATCTCTTTAATATATTCAATTTTCCCAGCCCCGGTTATCTGAAGATCCTCTCTCTGCTCATAAGGCCGTGCCACCTTTTTCTATTTTCTATTTCATATTTACTGTAAAATTAATCACCTGACCGACTACTCTTGAAATTACCTTGACTGCATTTGTCCAATGTTTGTGTTTTCGATATACATGTAACTGTATTTTGGTTGGTGGTGTCAGAGTTTAGGCACATTTTTCTTAATGAAACTTTGTCATGTGTCTTTCACGTTTTCACTCCTTTAGATTTGACAGTTGAATGGTGCAAATGGGAGTTTGGATTCAGAGAAGTTGTGGAAACCACCTCCAAACAGAGACTATGTACCTTGTGTTGCCCCAAGTTCATCCTATGCGTGTAAGAAATGTTGGGTGTTTCATACTGCATATCTAATAGAGTTTTCTCCTCCTTTGTAGCTCGTGTTAGATATTCATCTGTGGCTTATTTTCTGTATTGCAATATAATCTTCAGCTCCTCCAGAATCTCGAGGTTACCTGCTGGTTGATGCAAATGGCGGCCTCAATCAAATGAGAGCTGGGGTCTCTCTCTGATGCTAATGCTATTTTATTTAATTCTTGATCAGCTTCTGTTGTCTTTTGTAATTATACATTGGCTTATCTGTATATCTATTTTTTGTAAACATGAATCCAATGTATGAATAAGTAGATAGATAGATCAAAATATAAGATGTAATATATCTTTATGCTTTTGTAATTTGGTGGTTTGCATAATGTTTAAAAACTAGAATAGCGTGAAGCTATGATATAACTTCCCTCAGCAGTTAACTAGAAGATAAATGGAACTTGGGGACGCAACACTAGAATTTGTAGTGGATTTTAAATTCATTTCAGATACATCCTTGACTGGAAAAACTAATGATCTGAATGTTCTCAATTTAATCATAGTTGTAAATTTGAGACCTACCGCACACAGAGGATGTTAACCAAGTAAATAGTTAGAGATGACAGAATAACACATTTTTATTAACCAATTCTGTGGGGTCAATTCAGCCATAGTTTTTAGTTGTCTGCGCATTTGAAACCTTCCACATCCATAGTGTGTTGACCTAGTAAATAGTTAAAACTGAGAGTATAACATAATTCCTTTCTTCTTCCTTTTTTTGTTGTATCGATTCTAATCATTATAATTACAAGTAAATCAAGATTTTTGACTTGTTAACTATTTTAATCTTTTTACAATTAGAACTACTTTTCTAATCTTGAGTTTCATAACTGAAATTTATTTTTGGCAGTATATTCTATGCATCATACTGTTCTTTCATTCTACCACAAGCATTGGTATATAGGTGCACCTTTGAACCAACTAAATAAATTACATATTAGAAGAACTAGGATACAGACTATCTTAATATTGGTACCGCAGGGTTAGGTCATTAACTGAATTGAATTGATGTATTGCTTCTCTTCATGTTCCTAGACTCTCATCTCTCCTCGTCTATTAGTGAAGCAACTTGCAAAATTTATGCCTTTTTCAAGCTACTTATATTCTTTCATATATCATAGCAACTATGAGATGTTACTTTTGTATTTCGTATTTCGTAGTGCAAGGGTTATGAAAAGCACAGCATTAAGGTGTAGAGTTTATGCATATGCATATCTTGTACTTATTCTCTTTCATAAATCATATCAACCATGAGATGTTACTTTTGTTTTTCGTAGTGCAAGGGTTATGGAAAGCACAGCATTAAGGTGGAGAGCGTATGCATATGCATATGCATAACTTATATTGAAATGAGTAGATTTTGGGGGGAAACATATCTTGAAGCTGAAGATTCAATTTTTTCTTGCAGATCTGCGACATGGTTGCTGTTGCTCGTATCATAAATGCTACCCTTGTGATTCCTGAACTTGATAAACGCTCACTTTGGCAAGATTCTAGGTGCATTGTTACAATTTAGACTAATGCCTTGCACATTGTGTGTGTGTGTGTGCAATTCATATCAATTTGATATATTTAATCTTGTCTGCTTTAATTGTAGCAACTTCTCCAATGTCTTCGATGAAGATCACTTCATTAGTTCTTTGGCTAATGATGTAAAGATCATCAGAAAGCTTCCAATGGAATTGACGACCGCAACTAGAGGAGTGAAACATTTCAGAAGTTGGTCTGGTATTGATTACTATCAGGAAGAGATAGCAAGCTTGTGGGAAGAATACCAGGTATACTTGGTGGAATCTGATTTCTACTTATCCATAGACTATTTTGATACGACCTATTGATTTGGAAAATTTTCAAGGTCATTCGAGCAGCGAAGTCTGATTCTCGGTTGGCAAACAATAACCTACCTCCAGACATTCAGAAGTTGCGGTGTCGTGCTTGTTATGAAGCCCTCCAATTCGCACCTCGAATTGAAGCTATGGGAAAGGTAATTGGGGCAAAGTTTTATTTCATTGACACTGAACAATTGAAATTAAATTGAATATATAGAACAATACAGTATGAGAGAGAAAAGACAAGTAGAATAACAAGGGGAGAGAAAACAATATCAATATCGATTAATCAATAGTCTGAATAATTTTGAAACCTATTTAAGCTTAACCTCCCTAAAAAAAGATGGAAAGTTATCAAAGATGAAAATTGAAAATTACCTTATTGTAACCCAGTAACAGTGGAAAGGAAATAAAGAAAGATAAATGAAAACAACTTTCTAGAAAAAAAAAAATGGAAACAATTTTCAAGTTATTTCCTATTATTTTTAAGTGAATGTCTAGTTTACAGGCAAGTCTTTCAAGAATATGTACAAGGATCTCCATCATTTTGAGGCAGCACAATATATAGAAACAGAAGAAGGGAGATAAGAAAGAGATGTAGAGGAACAAGAGGGATGACGAAAAGATTTTGGAAGTGAAATCAATCTCCTCAATGTCATTTCAATTCGATATTTTGTATAGTTGGAAAACTATATTCTTAGTTATGCTTTTAACATTTTTAACAAAAGATTAAAAGGTACCAAAATATGAAATAGAAAATTACCTCTTAAAAAACGGAAATAGGAAAATACCTAATGTTACTTAGTATCTATAAAAATAAAGAAAAATCAATCAAAATAACTTTCAAAACATTTCATATTCTTTTGCTCACGGTGAATGTTTAGTTCAGGGCAAGTCTTCCAAGAATATCCATAAGTATCTCCATTGGTATAGAAACAATCAATACAGATCATATTTATAAGACGACTATAATTACAAGTAGACTAAACAAAAGGAAAAATACAAAATTACTATATGATCGCAGGGAACTAATATATCCTAAGATTAGAAAATTAATAGGGTGGAATTTTGATACTTTCTCTGAAGTTGGCTTAAACTTGTTTCCATTCCCAGCTTGATTGCAATAGACTAAGCCCCATTTGGTGGGGATTAAAATCAGATTTTTAGTATATTTTGATAAAAGTTGATGAAATGTATAGTTGAAAAGTTGTAGGTCCCATGAAATATTAATTATTGACTTTGATTTAGATTAAACTCTAGATTTTTAATCCCTATCAAATAGGAGCTACAATAGAAACTCAAAAACTACTTTTTAAGGATATTTGCAATTTGGTTCCCTATATCGCAAATGTTTCCACTTCCTAGCTTTTCTAATAAGTTGTCATTAACTTCTATTATTTTGGTCTTGATCTTGATCTTTGATATTTTCACATATCCCTTTGAGCCAAAAAATCAATTTTGACACTCGATCTGCCTGATTATTTTAATCCCTACCAAATAGAGCTACAATAGAAACTCAAAAATCACTTTGTAAGGATATTTGCAATTTGGTTCCCTGGATCACAAATGTCTCCACTTTCTAGGTTTTCTAATATATTGTCATTAAACTCTATTATTTTGATCTTGATCTTGATCTTTGATATTTTTGGATATCCCTTTGAGCCATAAAATCAACTTTGAGACTCAAGCTGCCTTATTATTTTAATTCCTACCAAACAGGGCTACAATAGAAACTCGAAAACCGCTCTGTAAGGACGTTTGCAATTTGGCTATTTGGATCACAAATGTCTCCACTTTCTAGCTTTTCTAATAAATTGTCATTAACCTCTATTATTTTGGTCTTGATCTTGATATTTTCGCATATCACTTTGAGCCTTAAAATCAGCTTTGACACTTGATCTGCTCACTGCGAACTGATTTTTTGCTCTCCATGTGACAATTTTGCTTTCGACAAATATGCATTACTCACTGCGGTGATAGTCAAAACCCAACAATCATTAGGGAGATCCACTCGTGTGACTAGTGTAATCGTCGACAAATGTGAAAAAGAAAATCTAGAACCAACAACCATTAGGAATTTTGGATTTGCCCAACATATATCAATCAAAACATGAAGCCATGGATGCAAATGTCCAGTCCTAGTCCCATGAAGTAAAGCCTACAATTTTGCTTAGCATTCCCAATTTTATTTTATTATTATTATAATTATTATTTTTTTTTTTTTTTTTTTTTTTTTTTTTTTTTTTTTTTTTTAAGACCTAAATCGTTAAACTATCACACCTAGAAAATCCTAAACAACTCTTATACCATGTGATGAAATCTAATTTCGTTGGTACTATCTTATTAATAATTGAGATTTCTTTGATACTGAAAAATCAATTGTAGAAACTACCCGTTATGTCTGAGCAGGTTTAGGCTCAATGACATCCTCTACCCACTTTTTCTAGGCACAATTATAATTTCAATGACAATGACAACTTAAGTGTTCGCATTACTACAATTAAGGGTAGGATACATACAAGAAAGCTGCAAAATTAATTCAAAAACGTAGAAAATTGAAATTCCTAAGATTAGCCAGTGCTAATTTTTTATCTAGAATCGGGAGCATATTCTTCTATTTTCTACATTCCCTCTGTGCTGTCGATACTGTTTTATCTTCAAATACTTAACTTTGTAGTTGTTGGTGGACCGGATGAGGTCTTATGGCCGTTATATTGCTTTGCATTTACGGTTTGAAAAGGACATGCTTGCCTTCAGTGGGTGCACTCATAATTTATCTCTGGAAGAAGCTGAGGAACTAAAGTCAATAAGGTAGGATATTTTGTACAGATATTCTATGATATGTAGGTTACACCAAAAATATTTCATTTTATTTGAATTTGCAGAGAGAATACCACATGGTGGAAAGTGAAAGATATTGATCCTGTAGAACAGAGAGCCAAAGGTTATTGTCCACTTACACCAAAGGAGGTTGGGATATTCCTTGGGGCTCTTGGATTTCCATCAAGCACCCCCCTATATATTGCATCTGGAGAGATATATGGGGGTGAATCCCGTATGGATGATCTGCAGTCGCGCTACCCGCTATTAATGAACAAGGTACGGAACTATATGTTTCCATTTTTATTTTTATTTTTTTTACTATTTCAATTTATAGTTGTTCACAAGTAAAAGATGCTGGTGAGTTGGCTAATTTTTTATTTAGCTCACTCACGAGTGTGTGAGCTTTCAAGGACTTGCCTCGAGAGCGAAGACTTGGTGCAATTTTGATTAACAAATCAAAAAAGTAGGAAAAGTCTTATTGCAAAGCGTACCCTTTTCATACACAGGGTGAGGCCCTGTGTTCAGTTCTGTGGTAACCTTTAGAAAAGGCCTAGAAAAATAGGCTCCTTCATTGTTGGAGAGGCTGATGATGGTATAATTTGCCTGTGCGCATCAGCTTTTGAATAACCAAAAGAGAGAGCACAAAAGGAAATTAAAAAATAAAAAAGAAGTATTGAATGCTCATCTATGGCATGTTTGAAGGTATTCCATGGAAATATGACTCAATTTTGTGTTTGCCAAAAGGTTTCGCTCAGAAAGTGTCTTAATGCTTTTGGAAGTGGTAGCATTAACATGACTTACTTATAAGGAGAAGTAAACTGGTGATTACTTGCACTGCACTGAGAAATGGGTTGCTGACATTATTATTAGTACCTGCCTGAAAATTTGTAAATTTTTTAACAAGGTGGTGATGGGAGAGAGAAAAGTTGTGGTGATAGATTATTGCTTCTGCCTCAGTGATGAATATGAATGTAGAGAGCTGAGGTTGACTACATTCAAATGGGTTATTACGTCTATCAGCCACTAGATTGAATTTTAATGGCGTGGAATTAGCCAGGTAGGATAGATGAATCGATGGTTTGTCTTAAGGTGCAGAATGTTGGAATTGGCCCTGGGCTTCTCTATACTTGCTGGACTTCAAAGCCTATCTGCTAGTTTAGCAAGAAAAATTAGGTCTGCAAAATTTTCATTTACATCTGTAATTTTCTAAACAAATAAAACTTGTGAAAAGGCAGATTGGGGCTTGTGTATTCTCTATCAAAATAAGGTGGAAGAAAAATAACTTTTCTTGAACTTAGAAATGTACAATTATAGCAGATGCCATCGATGCTCTAATTTCAATCAGATTTTGATACCCGAACATGGGCTCACTCTAATTCCGAACTTTTTTGCGTTCGAGATGACTGGTACTTGTGTGCCTGCTGCTTATTTTTGTACTTGTAGCTGAATGCCTGAAAAGTTGCATATTAATTTACTTATTCTTTTAAGTTTTTCCAGGAAAAGTTGGCATCAGTGGAAGAGCTTCAGCCATTTATCAACCATGCATCCCAAATGGCTGCACTTGACTATATTGTTTCTGTTGAAAGTGATATATTCATTCCTACATACTCTGGGAACATGGCAAGGGCAGTGGAAGGTCATCGTCGTTTTATGGGACATAGAAAAACCATTTTGCCTGATAGGTAATGTATTTTCCCATATTGTTTTCTATAAGATCTTCATCTTTCCACAATTCCTGTATTTTCCGTTATATTCATATCCTCTGTGATGCCGATTTGGCATTGTTATAATTGCTAACTTTTTGAAGTTTCCCTTGTTCGTTAGGAAAGCCCTTGTCCGTCTTTTTGATAAAGTTGATAGGGGGACAATGAAAGAAGGCAGAAATCTCTCAAACCGAGTTATTGAAATCCATAAACGAAGGTATACCGATTTGAATATCTCTCATAAGTATGGGTATATTTTCCAAATCTCCTGTCATTGACATGCTGGGATACTAGTCAAGCTGTGATGTGCTTTTATCTGTCTATTTGTTATTTATTTATTTACCGTGTAAAAGTTTATTAGCTTGCATGTAGCATGCTTTGTTCATTGAGGTTATATTTGGAAGAATTTTACCCAGCAGAGAGACTTCAACTCAGTGCTTTCTTCTTGTGCTTTAATGTTGGTGCTCAGGCAAGGATCGCCAAGGAAGAGAAAAGGCCCTATTTCCGGCACAAAGGGAACGGATAGGTTTCGTTCAGAAGAGGCATTTTACGTGAATCCTTTACCAGATTGTTTATGTCGGAAGGAATCTCCATTTATGAACGCTTCTCTCGTTACCAACTAGATCAAAACTTACACAGTGGCGGGTTGCTTGAGTAGCTGGCATCATCATAAATAGGTTCATGGGTTGTGAAATGTGCATAGATTTAATTGGTGGAAACGGTTAAAGGTATGGAGGTCCACAAGACGGGACATCTGGTTTGTTTGGTACAGATTTGAAGAATACAGAATAGAATGTTCATTTGAGCAGTAGCACTTTCCATGTCTTGGATAACCAGGTTTTCGAGCTCAACCATCCCCTTGTTGAACATTCACTTGATGGAATGAGAAAAGATTCAAATGCTGGCCATGTATAAGGGCAAATTGCAGCTAGCTAGCTATGTGTAGTTAGTGCCTAGATGAAATGTAGTTTATTGTTCATTTCTCACATTAGGCCTACTAAACATTGAAAACTGACTCGTGTCTTGGATGTTAGTAATAAGCAATTTTTTTTTCCTCCATTGTAACATACAATGGGGATTTAATCTGAGAAATTTCATGATTTATTATAATAATCATCTCGATTGCAGTACTGAACAAAACTAAATAATGAGCTCGACAGGCAAAATTGTAAGGAACATGAGCTCGTCAAGGCGGCAGTTGCTAGTTGTCCGTGGCTTGGAAGTTTTCTTATTCTCCAATAATCGAGGGTCATTTATTCTGCACTTGTAAGAAATATCTCCCAAATAAGATGGGGAATACGGTTTGAACCTGGCGGGAAAGTCATCGTATTCCCCCATATCACCATTTATGTAGCCGTAGGCATCCTTTGCACGTCGTAATTGTATGATAACGTCATTTCTCAAAATATGTATAGCACTTGCTTGAGCCTCATTTTTTGCCTAAGAACGTATTTTGGAATAGTAGATTAATTGAGAATGTGTAGTTCAAAAATAAGAAAAAGTTTTGAGTTTGTGTGTAATATTATTTTATTGAAAATTGTGTAGTTGAAAATAAAAGAGTAAAAATGTATTTTAAAAATGATGGGAAACAAACAAGGACAAAATATTAAAAACTCATAAGTAATACCCTCCATGAGGACCATATGTCGTGGTCACCAAAATCGAGAACTTTTCGTGAGGGATTAACTTTACTAATGGTTTAGTTTGACGTATATTTCTTAACTGAAAATCCTATTTTATTTGTGTGCCAAGATATCGAGCTATTAGGATTTTAGTATATTCTACGACTTAGTCCATAGGATGTCCAATTTAAAAATAGACATAATAATGAGTTGTAGTTTAAATGAAATATTTTGTAAAATCCAAGGGTGAGTTTGAAATAAATTGAAGTTCTGGACATTACTATGCCCCCGTTTGAGCCCCATTATTTGTAAATTATAATGAGATGAATAGTATTCTTTTTGAAACATGAGTGATTGTAAAGTTTGTGATTTACGTGTAATATTATTTTATTAAAAATTGTGTGATTAAAGTTAGGAGGGAGAAAAATTTAATTTAATGTAATGAGAAATAATGGCTCACCTATAGAAAAGGAATGTAGCTCAGTCTTAGAACTGAAGTTCCCAACAATGGCAGCTCTTAGCACCACTACTCTTCTTACAAACAGAACCCGAATGACCTTAGTGCCCCGTGCTGTCCTCGAAAACAAAACGCAGGTCTCTTACGAATTGAAGAAGTCTCAGTCTCGCCTCTTCCACGAGCTCCCGTCTGGCCTGAAAATGGAGGTCATCTTCCAAAAGGGCCGAATTGACATAGATGAGAAATCTCAAAATCCACCTTTGGTTTTCGTTCATGGAAGCTTCCATGCAGCTTGGTGCTGGGCTGAACATTTTTTGCCCTTCTTTTCTCAGAATGGTTATGACTGTTATGCTCTCAGCTTGCTTGGTCAGGTACTCAGTACTCTTCTTCTTTCCTTTTATGGGCGTTCAATTTCTTACCAGCAAAACCGCTTGATAAAAATTGAACTGTTTTGTTATAATTAAGGCATATATTGTTGGAGGCTTGGAGCAGATTGTCCTTGAAAGGAAACAAGAATAAAATACCCCTTTTTAATTATTTTCTCACATTTGCCCTAATATTAATGTTTTAGTAAATTTTATTAAAGATATGAAACTTTATGCCTTACGGCTAATATCCTGTCCTTATCAACATTTTCAGGGGGAAAGTGATGCACCTTCTGGTGCAGTTGCAGGCTCACTCCAGGTATTTCTGCCTTGCTACTATTAAAAACTTTTAAGTTGAGTGTTTGGCTAAGCTTATAAGCTGTTGTTGACGGCTTAGAAGCAGCTTATAATCTTAGCCAAACGTGCTATAGATGAGAAAAAAGCAGGGATCAAAGAGTTTTCTTTTTTAGTTTTTGTTCATATCTTTTTCCATTGTCAATATGATACGCTTCTTAGCACCTCCTAAGCTGAAAACTTCTTGTATGCAGTAGACCCATGCCAGTGATATTGCTGACTTCATTCAAAAACAAATTAATTTTCCCCCAGTGTTGCTGGGGCATTCTTTCGGAGGGCTTATTGTTCAGTACTATATTGCAAATATAGGAAATGAAAAATTTCTCGGTAAGTTTTCTGTTTCAGGATATTGATATACATCGTTAAGAAGGTGAAAGTAGAAATAGAGATTCCATAGATGTAAGGCCTTAATGACAAAGAACAGCCAATGTCATTTGTCCTTTTTATTTTCTCCGAGTATATAAGAAATTCTCGAATAACATATAATCCTAAGGAGTTTCTAAGAAACTACTATCTTTGTTTTTTCAACTATATGCAAATAGCTTGGCATCTGCTTGAAAGGCTTGGCAATGAAATTTCTTTGTTTCATCTTGTGAAGAGGGGAGGATAAATATTTTCTGGATTCTCTAGCAACACTTCATATTCCTTGGATGAAGGCATAAAATTCTTGCTTGAAAGTTATTTCTGTAGCCCAATTAAAAAAAAAAAAAAAAAGGAACAGTTCCATCCATTCATGTTGAGAAATATTTATTCAGGTTGATGTCTAAATCTTGAAAAAATATTCACATAGAGTTATGGTTGTATATCAATGCTATAGAACCAGAATTATATTCAACCATTATACATGGTCCATGGTCCATGGATTTCCATAAAGATTTTATCCTACATGGTCTTGATTTCTAGAAAAAGAAGGCTTGTACCCATATCTTGCTGGAGCTCTGCTTGTTTGCTCAGTACCTCCTTCGGGTAATAGGTGACTCTCAATCTCTGCATACTGTAAGTTTGTTTTCTATGTGAATTTCGTCTGACAAGTTTTCTTTTTCTTTATTCAGCGGGATAGTGTGGCGGTATCTCTTCTCTAAGCCCGTTGCTGCCTTTAAGGTCAGAAGTTTTAGTTTGAAGAACAAATAACTGACATTTGTACTGTGTTATGTTCTGGAGCATATATGGTGTGCGTATCACCTGCGCAAACTTCTTTACCAGCTTCAAAATAGAATATAGCTTCAGAAATTGAATGATCCGCTTTTCGCTTTCTCATTTTTCAAATTTATGTCCACAAAAAGAACATACACTGGTATTTTGAAATGTAATTTCAGTATATTACTTCGTAACTCTCGAACACACAAATTCCAGATTTCTCATCCTTCTTTGACAAGTGAAAATATTCCAGATTTCTCATCCTTCAGTGTTTTTTCCCCCCTGTATGGTAGATCTATTTAGAGTTTACATAGAGTATCCATTCTTGTAAACCTCACATGGTTGAAACTGTTAAAAGTTTCATATATTGAGCAGATAACACGAAGCTTGGCAGCGAAAGCTTTTCAAACTTCTCTGCCACTTTGTAAGGAAACTTTCTTTTCTACAGAAATGGAGAACCAAGTGGTCCTACGGTTAGCACATGAAAACTTCCAAACTTATTGCTTCTTGACTTTCTGGATTGAATATATTTCATACCATTTCTGCAGTAATATATTTTGTGCATTATCTTGTCTTCACAATGGTATGTATCACATGTGTACAAGGAGTCAGCAAGACCCTGTGTATTTTGCTTCTACCAATATATTATATATCTACTTAGGAATATTGAATGAAAGCAGAGAGGTTTGATCGGTGGGGGGTGTTCGAATAATGAAATAGTGAATAGATTATATATACCACAGTAAGATTTTTTATTTTTAATATTAAACTACTCTTTTGATGAAAAGATATAAAATTTTATTTGACATCATCATTAAATGTCTGTGTTAGAAACTTGGGAATGAAAGTCTAAATTTGGTAGATGGCAGGGCAAAGATAACTCAAGAGAACACTTTCTTATTTCTTGGATTGATTTTCATCGCATTCTTAGGATCAGAAGTCTTTTATAGCCTCTACAAAACATGTAGCTACCATTATTGCATATTTCCCCTTAAAATGATTCATGCATATATCATGTACATGAATTTACTAAAGCTATGTTTCCAATTTTGCAAAATAAGAAAAAGTACCAATTGACAGTTTTTTATTCATTATTCATTATCATTATGGACAATACCAACGAAGATAGAGTGACAGAGCAGTGGAGAATCGCCTTTAGTGGACTTCAATGATTATTCAGATACTTTTGAAGAGGCTAGAGAGAAATATGTTGTACTCTTTAAACAAAGCAGGATCCTATTTTCTTGAGTGGAGTTGCAACTTATGTTCGGCTGATCTGACTTATAGATCTTATGTAGTTAGCTACAAGTATCCTTTTTCTTTTCTTTCTTCTTTTTTTTTTTTTTTTTAATCTTTAACTGGGAAACATGCATTACAACAATAAATAAGTATCTCAAAAGACAAATTCATGATACAACTCAAAATACATGAACTAACTCAACTACAATTAAGTTTATGGAATGGCAAAGATTTCTTGGATTGATTTTATATCATGCCTAGAATCATACCTTCTATAGCCTCTACAAAACATGTACCAACCATTATTGCATTCATGTGTATATCAATTGCATGAATTTACAATACTAAGTTTCCACTTTTGCAAGATAAAAAATACCAATTGACAGTTTTTTTATTCATTTGTAATTATCATTATAGACAGCACTAACGAAGATAGAGCGACAGCACTGGAAAATCGCCTTTAGTGGATTTCGGTGATTATTCAGATACTTTTGAAGAAACTTGAGAGAAATACAATTATCAAGTTGTACTCTTTGAACAAAGTAGATTCCCATATTCTTTAAGTGGAGTTGCAACATAAGTTTGGTGGATCTGTCTTCTGGGTCTTATATAATTAGGTATATGTATCTTTTTTTGAAACACGTAAGATTTATTAAGAAACATGTATTACAACAATATATAAGTATCTCAATAGACAAATTTGTGAAACAACTCAAAAATACATTAACTAGCTCAACTATACAATCAAGTTTATTGCAGTATTATAAAAGACGAGAAAAGGCATCCCTAAGCATGAGGGATATTCTAAACTCCCTTGTATATGGGCAAGGGGTGGAGAAAGACAGTGAACTCTTCTTTAGACAGAGTAATGTATCCCTGAGCACCAAAAACGCCTTTTTTATTTTAACT